GAGCAAGGGATTTGTTTTTGATTGTGATGGAGGTTGCATTTATTTCGGCGAAGCAGTCGTATGTTAGGCAAAATAGTGAATTTATTCTTTTTTATCCTCCTGGAAGGAACTTACCCGAAAGCATGAAGAAAACGGACGGATAGAAAAAGTTCTGATTGCGATTACTTCTTCAAACCTTTCCTACATATTATATAACGGAAACTTGTTATTTACTGTCACCCTATCCCTGTCGTTGTGAATTTGAGGCTCTATCGAAGCCTCGGGCCATTGGGAGTGGAAGAGCGAGGCCGAAACTTTCGGCGAAAAAAAATCAAATCGGCTCGGCTAAATAGTTGGCCTGATTCAAGCTTAACCCGCAGTTTATGGCACCCTAAAGTGGGGAAATGTTCGAAACCGAGCCTGGACCGAGGGATTTGATGGCTTCAGGATCAAATTGGTGTGGTTCTTACACAGAATGCGAATGTATTGGTGCGAAATGGGCCGGCAGTAAAGAAAAAAGGAAAGAATCCGTCGAAAACGCTTAGGTTAAGGGCTCACTCACCTTCTAATCGGCTGTGCTAAGGAATGAGAGACTAAGCGCCTGGAGGAGGGAGATGAGAGGGCGCCAGACAACAGCCTGATAAAAGGAAATGTGCAGCTGCTGCAGCATTCTTTACAAGGCCCTGTGCCCTTGCCAGATGACACGGGAATACCACATCTCTGATTGCCCTTCAGGGGTCTATCTAGAGACAAAAAAGAATCGTTCCCACGACCTCTGCCTGGATTGTGCCTTTAACGATAAGAGAATGCATATGCTATTGAAACCTCTTGTGAGACACAGAACACTTTTCAGAGGAATCTACATAACCGTCAATGACAACAGCATCAGTAAAATTTATAAAATTCTATGCAATTGGCCAGTATCGAATGTGCAGGTAAGTGTGTAGGTCAAGGTGACATGTAAGAAACCAGATGGACCTTGATTTTTTTCTCCTTGAATTGATATAACTATATTTTATTGTGTATCTGTGTAGTTAATCTAACCTAACGGGCCAGATCTCTTATGGGTCGTCTGGTCTTCCCCCACGACACACAATTACCCAAATTTTTTCATCAAAACACGGATCTTGTTTGAACCCTTAGAGTAGTTCTCTCACAGGCTGAAGTAGAAGAACCCCTAATCAATCGGTGTTGGTGCTGTCGCGACTTGAAAGAGCTTTATAAGGAAGCTTTTACCTTTGTTTGACCGCTATGACAGCTGCCATGCTTCTCAATAGCTTTTTCCCCTAACGTTTCTCTTCATACTTCTGTCTAACTCCAATTGAACAACACGCCAATTCAATCGCGTCCCGTGTCTTCCAGGTCGGACTTCTAATGTTGAAAAACCGCTAGCCTTGATGAATGGGATTTTTTTCTCTTTTTGCCCTGTTTCTATGTGACCTGCTCTTCGAAGAGGCGCGCTTTATGAAGATGAGAACTCAAATCAGAATTCTGCGCACATTTCGGCACGAGTGCTGGTCGAGCTTTTGCCCAAATTTAAATCTTCAAACATTTTAGTTGCAACCAGAAGAAGAAGCTGCTTCTGTTCGCTGTTCGTTCATGGCTCTCCAATTTCTTACCTTCTTCAAAAAATTTCCTTCATCTGAATTCATCAGTCTCTAAACGACTAGTGTATTTCGTGTGTACCTGTACATGTATGTACTGATGCCAATTTTTCAATCGACGGTTTGCGATGGGTAAAAACCGCCGTAAAGGGTTGCAAACCCTAAACTAAGCCTAGGAGGAGTCAAGAAATCGGTGTGGGGGAGACATGAACTGCCGCACACCCTGGCAAGCTTCTCTCCGCCTCAAAGCTCAGTCCTGTTCGGAACAAAGAGAGAGGTCTTACGATGAGTTTGAATACATCCACTACAATCCCCCGTATCTAAAAGCCCCATATTCATATACTGTTGAGGTATGTGAAAGAAAGGTCTGGTTATGTTTTTGGAATTTGCAGGCTTCCAACAAGCCACTCAAAACATCTTTGTCTCGTGAGTTTGGGCGCTTGCTTACGCAGACCGTAGAACACTTTTGGCTGATCAATTGCTCCAATCATCGAGCACTTTGGCGAGCAGTTGCAGCGCATTTGTTTCGTATTACAAATGAAAACGTAGCCAAATAACTGAAAACCTTGGGTCTGCTAGCCTCGTGGAATGTCACAGCACAAAATAATTTGAGTTGGAAATGTTTGTGGGGTTGACTAGGTGTTGCTATTGATCCATTTGGTTCGAACTTCGAAAAGCTTCGTGTTCTTGGGAAAGGGAAATGTCCTTAAATTACAAACATTCATACGTTCGGGGGGGGGGGAGGGGAGGAAGAAACAAAAAAAACTGCTCACATCAGCGATTTTGTGGCCACCCAGATTACGGCCGTTGCCAAATATTGATAGGGAAGTGTCCCTGGAATGAGCTAGAGCAAATCCATTTTCACCATCCTCGCCGTGTTCAGAATATGACCTTGTCTAGTTCGCCGTCAAGTTCAAGAGATTGCCCCAACTGAAGTTGCTACATAATTTCTTGGATCGATTCACTGGTGGATAGTTTCCTAGAGATACTGCCTCAAGCACTCTACCAAGCAGCCTTTCAAAAAACGCCGTAATGGTCCGCGATCGTCGAAAACCCCGCTAGGCACGACCCGTGCGTTCCGTGGCGGATTCTTCTGACGACCTCTGTGTAGGAAGCCACTATGTAGTACTTTTAATAAAATGAAATGTGGTCTTCAATTTTCACTTGGGTACGGTTGAATTCAACAAGACGCGATTGGTTCTGTTTTGAATGTGAAAATGAAACGCCTTTTTTATTGTTTCTCCCTGAAGCCCCCAATTTTTTTCTCAGCATTCGGGAGCATCCTTTGCAATGCCACACTGCTCAATAAATTCTAAGAACTGCACAAATGCCTCAATTTTTGAGTGTGTGAAGTGAAATGGCTTATGCCTCTACCATGAGAGTCTCTCCGTCCGTATGGCTTGTTCTATTATGCCTGAATTTTTTGGAATATCCAGATACCGCTCCTGCGTTTTGAGTTTTTCGGAACTTGTCACCTTGCTTTTCTCTCCCACCTTATCTGCGCTTGCATTTTCTGGATCCATCGCCAACGGGGCCACGATTCCATGTCGAGCAGTCAATGCAGTGGTCCAACAGTCGTCAGGCGTACGATCGCGGCTATGTTCCAGCTCGACTACGACGTCCATACCTGATATTCAAGAACAAACATTATGCTTTGCTGCTTTTGTGGCATCCAGTAGCCCATTTATTTTGCTTCATGGCGCTTAATTTCAGCGCAAAACTTTCACTGCTCACTGCTCAGCTCATAGCTAGTATTAACTGTTATTTATATTTTATTTATTTTATTTTCGCCTATAAGCTACTCTGGTTAGTTATCTTTCATATTATTGGGCACACAAGGCAGCAAAAGGATAAAGCATTTGCCGTTGATCAATCCCTTTTTGGGATGCGGCACGCATTCTACTTCCATTTGTACATTCGTAGTGGCGTTTGAATGCGATGTGGCCTATACAATGACTTGCGGGGGCCAGCCGATGTACAAGTCAGTGTTTTTATCCTCCCAGACAAGTCTGGTACCAATTAACCGACCCCGGAGGGATGGAAGGCTTGGTTGGCCCGGGCGACTCACGACCCAGGATTTGATCCCGGACGCTCGCGTGGTAAGCGCGCCATGTCATACCACTTCGCCATGTATGTGCTAAGACTATTTCAAAATTAGTTATTTTCGGTCTTATTCAACTCTAAATCTGTGAGCTATTTCTTACTCCAGCCACTTTCCAGGCTATTGTTGTCACTGATGGTGAACGAATTCTTGGTCTTGGTGATCTTGGTGCAAACGGTATGGGAATCCCAGTTGGTAAACTAAGTCTTTACGTCGCTCTCGGTGTGGATTCAACCTGACTGGTGTCTTCCTGTTGTCATAGATGTTGGCACAAATAATCAGGTACTTTTTTCATTTCAATTTCTAGGATTATATGTGACAAATTATGCTTCAGGGGCCTCTTTAGATACTTTCCATATAGGAATAACAACATATTAGAAGCATCCGGATTTCAGGTATGATTGAGGGTGAAAATTTCAGCGTTCATTAATCCTTGTTGGGGTGCGCTACATTCTGCTTCCGTTATGAAACAATGCGACATGTGATTCGATTTGGCTTTTACAATGGCTTGCAAGGACTAGCTATGTGCTACTAGCTATTCGATATGTTATTCTCTCAAATAGGTTCGATAACGATGATAGATCCCGAGAGTAGTGAATGGGTTAGAGGGAATTGGCGATTGATTGGAACCTGCTTCGTGCTGTGGTCAGTGGTCTCCCTTTTCCACGCAAAGCAAAGAAACCTCCAGTACGCCTCTAATAAGGAACTAGTCGTATAGCAGCGGGGGCACTGCGCTTCGGATGGAGATGGGGACGTGTTTGAACAAGAGTTCCGAGGCTCGCTTCGGTTGCTCACTGCAGTGACCTGAGTGCTGCGACCGCGCTTTTCAAGCAGCGCTGCGTGGTAACCGACAGCGGCAAGGGGCGGGGGAAGGGGGCTCGCGGAGCGAACTAGACTGGCGCTTTGAGTGAGATTCTAGCCCCTTTGTCGCGCACTTTAAGCAGCAAAAGGGGTGCAACAGAAACGCTTATCCGCGTGCCTGTTAAGCTCGGGTATGGAGCAGGTAAGCGTGCCTAATCCCGGAGTGTGCCTTTAAGATGCCTCTTCAAGATATCGCAAAGGCTAACGTTTAGAACTAACCCTGAAAGAAGCAAAATATTCTGGGGCGTTCGCCTGAGCCTGTGTCCATTGAAAAGGTACTGCAGCTTCTTGTCGAGTGCCAGACGGCAGCTGTTCCCACTCGACTGGAGTGTTGACATGATAACTCTTTCACTCCCTTTTTATTCAATCGTTTCGGGAATCCTGGCCGCAGGAATAGGCACGCCCACTCCTGCTGATTCATATTGAGCAACCATTTAGAGACCACTGGCTGTATAATAACAGAATCTACTCAAATCGCCGGCCGTTCTACGGCGGCTGTTACGTAGTCCTGGCTGGCCGAACTGTAATAGGCGCGTCACTTGCATGCAGTTGAAGCTTGGCGTTGTGGAAAGGTCTTTTTGCAAAAAGTCGCATCTCTTAGCTTGCAACATCAATAACACTAAGTTACTCAACTGTAGAAGAACTGTAATTTTTGTATCTCAATCACAGTTTGTTTTTTGAGTCCCCACCCACAAGAAAAATGCTCCACCCAATTGTCCCATTATATTGTTACTTGGTACCTAGCACAGTAGTCTTCTTTTAAGCTTGAAGACTGTTTTTGTTGCAGAGGAATCTGAACGATCCACTTTACATTGGGCTTCGGCATGAACGAGTACGTGGTGAAGAATACGATCGTTTGATCGACAACTTCATAAAAGCAGCAACTAAAAGGTGAGGACTGCCCTGTCGGGTCATACCTGTCATAAGTTTGCAATATCTCGGATTTGTGTTAAGATTTGGCCGTGATACACTGATCCAATTTGAGGACTTTGCCTTCACTAATGCCTACAGATTACTAGACCGATACAAGGACGAGTACTGCGTCTTCAACGATGATATCCAGGGTGAGTCGGTTTTCAATACACATGTGCAGTTTTACGGAAAGCTGATACTATAGCTTGGAATTGGAGAAGAAAAATTGCATCTATCATGAAGAGGGATGTAACATGACAGGGTGTGTTTTGCTGCGAAGGAACACCCGCAACGGTCTAGGAAGGGCC